TCTCATTCATTTTCTCCTTATTTGACATTTTATTTGAAGTTAGTGTGTTCAGTAGTAAATACACCACCAACACTTTTGGACCTGTTAACAGAGGGCGTCCTCTGATGCAACGTTTCAGGTTTTAGTAAGAAAGTTTGTAATGTAAAAAAGGTCAAAGGAGGAGGAATAAAAAGAGCAGCAGTGGGGTGAGGAAGAGGAGTAGATGTAGTGAAGAGGACAGAGCAGAATGTTCACATGTTGTTGTTGTTAACCGTCGGCTCTGCTGCGGAGCGTCAAACCGACAGGCTCTGATTGGAGGGAACGTGCACGAGTAAACAACCACAGGCTGTGTGTGCTTTGCTTTCTGTTCCTCCTAAATGTGTGTCTGAAAGTCCAACCAGGAAGGAAACGCTGGTGAAAACAAAGGTCCAACATTCTGAATGCATGTCGCCCGCCGCCTTTCAGGTCCGAGTTTAAACATCGGAGAAGTGATAAATATCTCCTGAAGGATTTTAAATATCTGTTAGTGCTCAGTGTTAACTGCTGTGAACAACCCTCTGCTACAACCACACCAGATTTTATACCAATCCTTCCAGGAGTGGACATCTCAGAGGATTCACCCTGAAGGTCAGACCGTGCAATGCACTCTATCTCAGACTCTACGGGCCTCACAAAGTCAGAGGTCGTGGCAGCTTGACTTGGGGTTGGTTTAGGACTTCTGGACCAGAACCAGACCAAAGACAGTTAGTTTACCCAGAATTCACTGCAGCAAACAGCTCAGCTGTCAGCACAGTGGTGGAGGGCTGATGGTGTGGGCTTCTTGTGGTCACTGAGTGGACCATCAAGTCCTCTGTAGACCAAAAGACCGCTTGTCCAACAGCTGAAGTTTGGACCAAACTGGGTCACGATGCCACAGTGTTTGATTCAGTGGTGTCCAGACCTGGCCCAGGTGCTTGAGGGCCACTACCGGGCCACTATCCTGCATGGTTGTTTCTCTGCTCTTCAGCAGAAGCCTGTCATGAAGCAGAGAAACATCTAAACCAGAGATTCTTAACCTGAGCGCCACCTTGAGGGCCTCTAAAGAACAACAGTTTTTAACTTTGGGCCACAGAGGGCCGTGGGACCGCATTGATTTTGAATAAGGTG